CCCGTGCCTGCTATGACCCGAAGGCACGGCCGGCTGTGGGTTGCAGCTTGTAGCCGCAGAGCGCCATTACCGCTAGGATTACCGCTGGACAGATGGAAGATGTGTTTTTTTATTACGTCAGTCCAGCTACGGCTTAGTGTATGTAAAGGACAGTTTGCTGAAGTTATGTTCACGCGATCACGCTGTTTTTGAGTCAAGTAATGGTGTGTGTTGTTTTTGTGTTTATATGTTTTGTTTATTGTTGCAACAGGGGGATGTTTCTTGGGAGCGACCGGGCAGGAGGCCCGTAGGGTGCTGGTAAGGCAAGGGAAGGTACAGGTCAAGGGTCAAGGTATATATATATTGTTGGTCATATTTCTATTGGTATTTTGTATGGTTGGTTGTTGTGTTTGCTTGGCATTGCTCTGTAGTTGGGGGGTTTATTACGTCGGGGCGTTAACAGGCATTGTCCGGTCAGGGACCGGTTACGGCAGGAACTGCGACAGTGGAGGCCGGCCGACTGGGGAGTCCAGGGAACCGGACATGAGGAGTCGCGACCCCCCACGGGACATGCCTGGTATGCGGTGCTGGCTCCGTCCTTCAGTCTGTCACGGGCGTAGACCCGGGTGGTCCCTCGGGGAACCGAGACTATATCGTGCGGGAAAGCGATATGGCCCCCGGGGAACTGTGAGACCGAGGTGGGCTAATGGTGTGTAAGCGGACCCTCGATTCACCGATGCTCGTCGTGGGAGAGGACTAGTAGGGCGGTCTCTCTCTGAAACTGCGGAGACCATCTGCAACAGTGGATTTGCCAAGGCCTAGCTCTTCTGCTATCTCTCGAACTGTTTGGGATGGGTCAGCCTCCAAAATCCCCCTAAAATCCACTGTTCATGATATGCTTTAGTGTCGACCGCTATGAGGTTTCACTTCTTACAAGGCCTGAACAATTCCACAGAACGAAATGTTCGTTGAGCCATTGCCGCACAGTGCTTTCTCTAGCACTTATTGGGCCCCACACCTGGTTAATTTGTCGAGCTGTTTCGATTGCGGATTGCCCCAATTTATAGTTCCGAAGAAAAAAAATCGTCCAAAGTGCTCTTTTCAGCATATGCTGAAAAATCTTGCGAAATAAAGCGGTTTATGTGCTTCCTTCTGGGTTTATCAAGCAATGGTGAAACGGCAATTATACCATCAGATAGCGCAAGAAATTCTCTACAGGATGTGCTACTGAGAAGCAAGGCAGAATGAGTTTTTAATCAGCAGTGAATGTACAAAAAATAGGTGCACAAAACGCTGAGAACTTCCGGACAAAGGGCCTGGAATAGAGAGAGGTGCGCTATACGTTTGTCTGTTCAGTGGACTATCCTTCGTTGCTTTTTTGGTCAACTATCACACATTTTGCGTAGGTCTTGAGCGTATCTTTATGCATTTCCTAAGCTTAGCTGACTCGTTTCTGCTTCAACACTTACACGACCAACCAGGACACAATGCGGTCTGACGAGGGGCCACTTACGCACACGATGCAGTTAGATACGTCGCTTCTCGTTTATGCAGCGCCGCAACTCGGATTCTCTCAGCCGTAAAATGCCGCCCGTAATTTAGGCGGTGGCCTCCTAAGAAGAACCCCTGGAACCACCCTCCAGGCATGCAAGACATATTCAAAACAGAAAACTGCGAAACAGAAGCTCAAAATACAGCCTGAAAACACAACCCACGAAAAACCCAGGGAGTCAATACGTTATCTTTTGTACAAAGAACACTCTTTACAACATTTATATTCAATTCTTCTTATCAAGATCTTTACATCGTAAGATTAGCCTTGTAAAGACATGGACAATGAAAGATACAAATTACATGGAAATGGTTATAAATGCGAAAGAATAATCGTTTCGGCACTATTTAGTTATTTTCGGTATTTGTCATGCATTCTTCTTTATGTGGTCTCATTCTATCTAAATTAATAAAAAAGGAATTTCTTAAAAAGCATTTTCGTATACTGAGTGGAATAAAAGGCATTGTTCGTGTCATCACAGTGGTGGTCAATAATAGATCCAGTTAGTAGGACCAAAAATCCCATTTAGAATAAGTTGCGACGATCTACGGCCTTTGTCGGCTTGTGGAACGGTTGTGCCACGAGCGGTTTGCGAAGCGGCCAACTTGATGTCATTCCATACGGCAGTATCCAAGTTACTATGAATCATTACCGGGACATTTCTAATTGTACAGAAGTGACAAGCAATTCGTACATGCTGCAAGCCGCTCTGCGACCGCACGCGTAAGTGACCCGGAAACCACACAACCGACTAACCGCGTTGATTTGACCGTACAATAACCTTTAATTTCGAGCCCATAGGTTAGTTCTTACCATACAACTGACACCTAATTCCTAAGTAGTTTATAAATATAGTGGATATAAAAAGTGAACACAAGCTCCACTAAACCCATGAACAACTTTTCTGACCCTGGGGTTAAGCGTACTACAACAGACCCGTATAAATAACGTTGTTCATGCTACAATACATTCTATTGTAATTTGTGTACTAGCGTGTCGGCTCCCATTAGTAGTTGTATCAGCGCCTTTACACTGCATCATTCTCTTGGTCTTCTTTCCTTCAGTAGTGCTGAAAACACTTCCTTCCTGCACTGAAACCCATACCGAGCAGCTGTTCAGCCGTCTGCGCACGTTGCACCACTGCCTGCAAACACTTTTGTATAAATCACACCTGGTCTTATTGTAAACAAACAAGTAAATAAAGAAATCAATAAAATCAACAAATAGTTCTCTACTACCAACTTTCACGGTCACTATCACAGAGCTCGTCGTTGTAATCGACAGCCAATCAGCTGTCTAATCCTTAGCCAATAGCCAACCTTTTATGACACACCAATAAATCTTGGACGAGTCATAAACTTACACCAGAAGAAACGGACACAGCAAAACCTGTTCACCCACCTGCTCGACATAAAAGCGCAATTAAACGCTTAGAAGACTCAAAAGGTAAGGGGCTGGGATGGCAATATGTGAAGTCCATCAGTGCAGTTAGCAGCTATCTTGGGGTCTAATAGCTTACTAGTCCACCACTTGTCCCCTCAATATTTCCACAAACGAGGTGGGCTGATCAGGTTATCCCACCATGCTTACAGCTCCAACTGGCAGCACTGGGGTTCTTTATTTTCACGACTAAGGCGCACGCGGCGCCCACCGCGGGCGGAGCATGGCTTAGCCAAGGCGTCCGCCCTACCCCACTCTTTCTAAACTTGGCTCAGGCTCTCAACGCGATTCTTCAGCTTATTCTGGGGTTAGCTACGAATTACATCCGTACGGACACAGAACTTACGGATTCGCGGTAGAGCCGGAAGGTAAATTGTAATACTAGAAACAGCTAGTCAATCCTAAGGCAACTTCAAATCCCTCTAAAGGCTGCGGACACGACAGGAGGCGACCGGTTGCTGCCAGTGTTACTAGCGGAGAGATGTTGGCCACACTCCCACAAAGCGTGTAGCAATTTGGCCAAACGCCCTAATTCTGCCCTTCCACCAATGACGCTGGCAGCAAGCGCCCACCTCCAGCAATCGTGCCCACTGCCCTTGAGACACATTCCGCGATCGCCGAACAGGGGAAATTCACAACGATTATGTGTGCCCTCATTCGACAGGGCTTACAGGGCTCCTGACAGGTGACACGAAAGCTTACAGAGTCCCGACAAGGCTGCCCACTATTCACATGCATACATTTCACAAGATTAGGTATGCTGCCTTCGCTTACACGTATGGCTTCCCCCTCGCACCAGTTGTTAGCGCTTATATATACTTTCAGTGATGACAGTTCTTAAAAACTCCAAAACCTGGTGACAGTTCTCAAGAACTCCAAAACCCAGCCCTGACTCCGAGTTCTAAGGTTCTAACATTTAGGCCCTACGTCTCTGACTTCTTTGGCGCACTCTTGTTCCACACACACCTCTCTCTCTTCTCCATCAACCCAACTCAGTGAAGCGGCATTCCATTAGCATGACCTGCAAGCTTTGCACTGATATGTCATGTGCACACAACGAGGCGACACCGATGTCATTTGCATAGCAGCTTGTTAGTGCTGGCCGATAAGCCGACATCGCGTACTCACATCAAACGAATATCAGCAAATACCAGAACGAACAAAGAAAAGCACCGATGGGCTGTACTTCCCACTGCAGCACAAGACGATTCGAACTGGCAAGGGACGGATTTCAGGTCAAAATCCCGGTAAAGTTCCCAGAAAAGTTGAGGGTTTCAAGACCATCAGGAACCGAAAAGTAGTACTGCTCGATCTCTTACATTGTTTACTTTTGGTTAAAGAAAAATCCCAGTACAACGGAAAAGAGTTCAAAATATCAGAAAAGGAAAAAATTCCAAGTGCGGAAGAGAAAAGCACTAGTACGTGATTCTTAAATTATTACTTACGTAAGAGTGCAACGTACCTGTTTCTCCGATATATTGCTATCCAGCAGAAATTTCACCGTCTTCTCAACTTCAACGCCTCGCTTTTCCAGTATACTCATCCCTTTCATATAATATTCTACCTGTAATATGAAAAAGACTAATTTCATTTATCCCTCTGGCGAAAATGTAATCACTGCGAAAAGTGCCCCGGCGAATGCCGCCTAATATATTTCTGATTTTTTTTATTCGGTTTAAATTTCAACTAAATGAATAATTCAACCAATGATGGTAATCGTTCCCTAGGTAACTGTTCCAGTGCCACATTGACAAGATTTGGTCGATACCCTTTTGTCAACAATCGAACTCGTAATGGTGAGTCATGCACATGTACAGACGGCATTTCTTTGACAGACGCTAAAAAACATTTTTTGAGTAAGACTCACAATACGCAAAACTTCAAAAAAAAACAAAGCTTCTAAGTGTCCATGGTTTTCAAAAAAGAAACAAAAAACAATCCCCCGTAGAAACGAGTAAGGCATGTAAACACGTTAAACAACTGAATAACCTGACATGAGCATGCTTGAATGACGGATGTATGCTTTCCCTTAAGTGTTCAATATAACTGATTTGAGCCCTCGACTATGGAATCTCTGAAAAAGTACAAGTAAAAAAAGCATACCATAAAGTACAAATTCCTGTTATGGGGTGACGAAAGTTAAGGATGTGGTGGAGAAAGCCTTAGAAAGGAAGTGGAGTTACGCCTGGGAAATGGCTCGTTCAAGTAGAAACAAGTGGTCAAAACTGCTCACGGAATGGCACCCATATTTGCGAAGACGATAGGCGGCTGACATCCCGCTCGAGAAATGAATTAAGAAAGTGCTGATTACGTGCAATTGGCAAAGCGGCAAGATGCATGACGAAGAAGGAATGGATTGATCTAATGAGGTGCCACATATTGTAAAATATTGACATGGCAATAAATAAATAAATAAAAAATAGAAAGCAACCAATAGAATTTTCAACAATAATAAGGAAAGAGCTCTCAAATCTAACCATTACCTATAAAAAGGATAGAAAATAAAAGGTGAAGGTGAAAATCTAGCTCTTTACGAAGGTCGAATCAATCTTCCAGACAGAAGTTTTTTTGCAAACTTAGCATATGGTGGAAAAATAGCAGCGTGACTCAGCGATGACGCGCATCATCGCGAGCGTCCTGAGCGCGAGCATACACGACAGGTCTTGAGCTCTATAAACTACGTAGTATGAAAACATTGCAGGATTAAGAGCCATTGCTTGTAGCGCTATGCATGGCATTGTCGAAGAACGTCAATGAGGCTGAAAAGCCATTACGAGTAATTTTTAAGCCAACCAAAGGAGTCTGAGAATTTCTAGCGATTTTTTACGGTTTTCGATGCATAGTATACTTCAAATCCCTGAAATGCGGTAGGCGTGGCTACTCATTTCATTTGAAGGTACGCACACCTCGCCTTTTTTTGGAATTGTAATCATTTCGTCATAAACGATGAGAAGATTGTGTTGCATCAAACTCGGTATTTCACGAGAACGCATCACGCATGCTCGGAACGGGAAGCTACACAGCCCGCCTACACGACTCATGGATGTGTAGGTAATAGTTTTCCATCTCCTACTCCTACCCCCTACTCTGTTCGACGTATGATTTGGAAAGCATGGAAGTAAAAGGCGTAAAAGGGCGAAAGAATAAGATGGAAATGGACCCTGAAAGTGAGGAGAAGAGGGTCGCAACAGTGACGGGGGTGATCCCCATGTTTCCTCATCGCACTGCTGCTGTCGTTGGAGCTTCAAGGAAAACACATAATGCAGTGGGTTACGGAAAGAGGAAAAGGACGAGAAGTCATGACTACGCAGCTCAAGCTATACAATAAGAAAGAACGACCAGAAAAAAAGAATGAGGGAGACTGGGAAGGTAAGGAGTGCTCAAAAATCTAGATGACGCTAGAAAGGCTGAGTTGAGCAAGGTAAATATAATAGGAATCTATACCGAATATCTTTAATTTGCTTACAAGGGATCAACTATACTCCGTATCCCAGAGGTGGATAAGGCGTGGCTATGTACTTCATTTGGACAATGCGTGAGATGCGTTTTTAGTGGGATACTTCCACTGGAGAAAACTGCATCGTCGTCCAAAATAAACAGATCCCAACAGAAGCGCAGCCACCACCACGTTCGAATGAAGTTCACAGCCACGCCATTTCTATTTCCGGGATATGGAGCGTACACAAGCAGAAGTAGGAAAAAGACGAATGTCTAACTAAACGACCAACTAACCCCGAAGTCCAAAACAGGATAAGGAGGGATGGCTGGAATCGGCACTGCTTTGCTGCCATTTGCCAGCCCATCAGGTTTCTTGTCAACTACTGGATTCGTCGACGGGTTTTCGACAGACTTGGAATGTTGCAAAGACACATTACCAAGAATCTAAAAAAGACTATAAGGGGTCGACCTCGCTGGAAAGCTCGAAGGAGTTAGAATTTTGGGGGATTTCTAACTGACCTGACTCAGCGCTAGCTTATCGTCTATAGTCCTCCATTCAAGTTCGTCGAAAACTGTCCCTCGCCCTTCGAATTCTTCGAAGCTAACCGAATTCTGGAACGGAGCAGGCGGTCGTGCAGGTGCGGGCGTTGCTGGAGGAGCCGCACATGGCAGTAGAACTTCCTTAAATGGCAATGTGTATCATGGCGTTTGTGATTATTTCTAATCTTCCCCTATCGTATAGGATTTTTGATCATCCTCACTGAGGTAACTTGTCAATCTACGCCGCAGACACCCCCACCTGCGGCACTTTCACAGAACAAGTAGCTTGGGGGCGGGGGACCGAATTCGAGACTTAACAGCCTGCAGACTTGAGTCTATTCTCTTAACACTGGACTACCCATGCCAAACGAGAAGAAGTAAATAAAAAAAAGAGGCGAGACGCTGTTTGGCCTAGAGGTGGAGAAGTGGTGGAGGGAAGGAGGAACGGGTGGGCATTTGGTTCCTTTACCAGTTTCTTTTACTGGTTCCTGTACACGCCTAACTTAGGGACCTGCAGACTCTTGACAAGTCCGAACAAAGCATCTGCTATTATATAGCTTCCCAGTACTTTACAGGTTTTCATAGAAGGCATCGACAGTGACCGATAGAACGAGCAAAATGCCCCACCAAGCTAGACTGCATCAAAAAGTGATAGAACAGGGGTAGAAGTTGAAAAAAAGGATGGAAACAAAAATGATACGACAAACTGCTCTTATAGGAAAGAAAAACTAACGTTCGTTATAGAAGCCGTTGATGACGCCTGCGAGTCTGAAGAGGTAACTCCATTAATGGGATTCTTTCGTGAGATTTCAGGTTTCTGCTCGGGTTTGTTGTTCGCTTCGTCAAACTGTTCACGAGCTCGTTTCTCCGCTTCAAATGCATACTGGAAACATTATGTTATAAATAAAGCTCAAGACACTGGATGATGGCCTTGCCTATATTGATTTTACAGTTATGAGTTAGACATATGCACATTCAACAATTTTATCTGCCTTTAGTATTAATGGGTAATAATCGCCAATGAAATTAGGATCAAGAGACTTGACCTTTGCAAGTTCCTGTCAACATCTGACTTGGAAAACCAATTTATTTGCAAAAAAGTGATTTTAACTTCTCGTAAGAAGGGGTACACCTATTTCGAAGTGGGTGGGGGGAGGGAGAAGGACAAGACAATCGTAATTGTCGCTTCGCCGCGAGCAGCGTGTCGTGCGACCATACGAGGCAATCTCCAGTTTGTTGATTGGAGCAGCGAAACTCATATGAATTCAAGTCTCCGTCACGGACAATATCGAATTTTCGTGTCCTCTCAGACTAATATTCAGATGGCCACGCAGAACTACTCGCCCTCGCCACTTCCACAAACGCGGCATATTGCGACAGTCTTGTCACATACCCCAAAAAGAGATGCTAATTGTCTCAAACGGTAAAATTCTTCTAAATTTCCAAACAAAAAACAGTATACAAATCTAACAGTTCGGAAGGAGTGTATCCAGTATTAGTAACTAACTTACTCTAACTACTGAAGAAACGAAAGATCTTATCAAACTAGATAAACTCAGCGTAAAATTGCGTTTCAGTGAAGAAAGAGCAACATGAGATGGCGTTGTAGACAAGGCACATCCCGTTATGGAATTCGCAACGGAATGGGGCTGTTTTTGGCCCTCTGGGAGGGGAAGGAGCTTATTTTGACTAGAAAGATAGATTTTCGGAATGATTTTTCTCGTTTTTGGGCGCTACATACCCATCCTCGTGGGCGCCAAAATTTTAGGAAAAGTTGGTAAAGTTTTACAAGAGCCCGGTAATACGTAGACTTGTGAAAGAGGATCTAGACAAGGAGAAATTTTGGAGTGAGGGGGCTCGTGTTCAGCAAAAGTTTTCCACAACGCAATGATGTTACCCTGCTCAATAGCCACAATGATGGCTTACCTGCACACTCTTTAGCGGTTCAGGTATTGTCAGTGTAGGTAAGTTGATCAATGGTGGTGGATAAAATCTCCGACCTATTTCCATTGGAATATCTCTCAGATAGTCTAGGAAATACTTAAAAATTCAAAAGGAAATCGGAAAAGTAAAAAGCTCCAAAGAAAAACTCACCTTGAAATGTGTTCGAATAACTCATTCCACATCACTGGCTTGAAGTCATCGAATATATCAGCGATTCGTCGCCACTAATGATCTAGAAACTGCAATGACTCACACAACTCTCCTGACTATCAAATCTAACTTTTTCCGAGTTTTAGAAACCCCAATGAAGGCCAACAAAATTACCAGCAGTTTACGTGATATCGACTGATAAAGAACACCAAAAACTACCTTCTCGTGTCAGTAAGAAGGCCCAGAAGTATTTACAAAATCGAAATAAACTTGTTGTTGAAGGACGCCCAAGTTTCATCTGCTTATGGCCCTAAAACGATATCAGGGCCGAGTTTTCAGTAAAACTCGTCCAATCTACTCCGCCCTTCGTTTGTTCGATGTGCTGACCACTTTTTACGAAACAAACACGGGCATAAGTGGGGTTCGAGGCGCTGTTCGAGTAAGAAGGGGCAATTCATGCTGAAAGTTCCAAGTAACATTCAGAGAATTCTTGTTCAAGCCTAATAACAAAGCGCTTCGCTCCTAAGTGAGTTGATTGCGTTGTGCAAAAGGTCGTGGTTTCAAATGCGTTGGATGCATTGCACC